TCCCTAGCCCTGAAGGTAACGTTTTTTGCCAGAATGTAGCACGCATGGCTTCCAGACAAATTCCCAAGGGAGTCCTTCCTGAAACTTTTGTGCCTGGTCTTTACTGTCTGAATTTTTATTAACATCTGGTCTTCTGTGCTCTCAGCACAACAATCCATCAGCCTCTGCTCATAGTGTTCTAGGTCTTCTCTCTCCTACATTTCCAAACCTTTCCAAACTCCTCTTGCAAACCAATTCCAAAGGTTTCTGAGCTATATAGTTTGGTATATCACAGTAACAGCATCACTTCTGGTACTGAATTTTTCTGTCAGATTTCCCATTACTGAAAAAGAATATTTGATGCAGTTTCAGAGGACTCAGTCCATTTGTTGGCTGGTTCCAAGAAGGGCACGGTGAAGCAAATCTTATTAATTCATGGAGGTCAGGAAACCAAGCAGAAGAGTAGCACCAGAGAGGGAGGGGCCAGGGATCAAGTATAGAGTCCGAGGCCATGCCTTTATGACCCACTCAGACACACCCAGCAGTGTGCTTTACTAATCCTTTGCACAGCTCCCTAGCCAATTAAGATGACAATTAAAAGTAATAATTATAGTTACCTTCCCTGGAGACAAGTGGAAAGACTGGTTTATCTGAATACAGTTAAACATTAGATCCTGATGTGAATTAAGAACATCACCTGAGATGAATTAGCTTTTAGAATGAATGTTAAATACATGACTTTACCTTCATCTCCTCTTTCTCTTCCCCCCATTTTCTCCACATACATCTTAGGTAAGTGCATATATAAACACTCTACTTTTTCTGAAGACTTTAGAATAAATGGTTTACATAGAACTAAAAATTATAGAGGCACTTATGGAAGTGAAAATATTTGTGAGATAAAGTTAACATTAATATGTTTAATAAATTGACTGGGTGTAGGATAGCTTCAGTTATTTGTTTAAAGGCACTGCATATAATGCAATCAAGGTATAAATTATAAATAACTAGTTGGTAAAAATTTTTAAAAAGCTCCTTTTCCTGAGTTCATTTCTTTAGTTTCAATTCTACTTGGATATATACAGAAATAAATGAAAATATTTCCATTTCATTGTACAAATTAAATTACTATATATTTGACTTTTTGTTGTAGCTGAAAAAAATCTTTTTAGGAAGGTCTGGGTTTGAAATACAAAAAGAAGGTTATCCTTTCCTGTTTTAATACTATGTGAAACTCATTTAACTCACTGTGTTTGATTCTTGGGGACGTTTATGCTCAAGGTTCTGTCAAAACAATCTATTATTCTTGTTTTTACTCTGATGGATCATGGAGAAAAATAATGGATTCTGTTATGCGAAGCAGTAATAGATTTTTTAACTGACATAAATTTCTCTTCCTGTATAGAATAAAAGGATCAGGAAAAGATAAGTTGCATTTTCCTACAATGAGCCAGCTCTTGTTAAATTTGCCTCATAAATTGTAGCCAACCGCTTTCTTATGTAATGTTTTATTTATGTAATTCAGTTATTTGAAGGTGGTGGTGAAGGATGTGAATACATCATTTTGTGTGGCATTTCAAATCTCTTTTGACAAAAACCTGAAGAATTTTTTGTAATAGGAAAAGTTCAAAATTCCATTAAGCCTCCTTTTAAGAAGGTAAGAATGGAAATAGCTTTAAATTATCTAAGGTGAAAAGAGGCGGAGTGGACTCCTATTTGTTATAGGAAGCTGAATATTTTCTCATCAAAAATAAAGGCAAAGTCAAAGCAAGCAGCAGTGTGTAAGCTGGGCTGTGGGAATTGGTAGCCTCAGAGGGCACTTAGAAGCCTGTGGGGAAATACCAAGCCCAGGCCACCCACAACCTGTCCTTACAGCATATACTGGCATGGTGACCACATGGATCCGGTGAACCACAAAAGATCCAAACTCTTCTGACTCTTCTGGTAGCCTAAAGGAAGT